TCAAGCATTAAACTACAATGCCATCCCTCTGAGTGTACTTAATATTGTAAAAATATACATGTTGAACACATGACAATCTTAAACTTATGAGCTGTTAGAGAACTGCTTACTACAGGAATATCAGATAGATTAATACATTGACTTGGTGGTGTGAAGACTGTGTTTTATAATATTGCTTTAGTTTCTGAGGAGGAAAATACATGAAGCGTCAGATGAGGAAACACCAGTGGAGGAGCAGTCAGTCTGCTCTGATGATCATCCAAGATGCTGACAATGACTTCCTAATCATTATGATTTAGATTAACTACTTGACGAACAGTTAGGCTGGTCAGTACATTTACTGCTGAAAAATTGTTGTGAGTCTTATTTTCCAAGGTATCAAATGGTGTTTCATGATATGATGTATATTCAGTGTATCACGTGAATACCACTTGATTAATGCATAGATACACTAATTGGTTAGTTGGAATATATACAGCTGATATGGTAGTTGTGAACCTTAATTTACAATCTATTGAGCGATGTTTAGATGTAGGTATGATATGTCATGATAATCGTTCACTTTACCTAGAATTACTGCAGAGTAGATTGTGTGAAACTCGTTAAATACACATCTACTGATGTTGTTAGACAAAATCCTAGGGAAATTAGCAGCGGGCTCAACTGTTAATAATGAATGAGAATTTTCATAAATCAACATAATGAAAATATTTGCTAAGTTTTGTGGCAAATGTTGGCTAATATTTGCTAGTATAAACGTTCTGAACAAACTCACGATTTTGTGTGTAAATCGGGGCAATTATATGTTGCTTCTCTATGCCTGATAGTTTGGTTAGTATACACCAGTCTTCTAGAAGTGCAGTTAGGGAGTTGTTCTTTAGCACAACATGAACAATTAACTAAGACTGTAAAGATTAGGTGAAATGTGTAATGTTTTTCTATATTTTCATTTCAATTATTTTTTATATGCAGCAAGTCCTTCTCGACTACTTGATGAAAATGTGAGTGCGACAAAACATAGCGATTTGAGGTGAATTCTTCGTTATGACGACGAAAGTGACTTTGCCATCGTCTTTTGTGCACCTACTACATTTAACTGTGTGTATGCATGTAGTTTATGATTGATTATACGAAATGTGATCTAGATGGATGTTTGTAGTAAAATAAGCCATTTCTGTTTATCTCTGTCTCTGATTACTTTTATTTTAATGAGATAATTCGAATTGGGTAAGCGTCACTCTTTAGGTGGTGCCTGAGGCTTAGCGTGTTTATCATGTGGAGAGCATAGATAACACTGACGTCAGTTTTTGTGGAAACCAGGCTAGCTACTGAATGTTGACTTATTAAATGCAAATACGTGTCGACTAAAGTGACAATGCACACTTTTGTGTGTGGCAGCATAGAGTTATTTTCTATTATATATCTGAATCAGTTTATGTATGTTTAACTGTGTACACGAATATGATATGTACCACAACACAACCTTTCGCGCGAATAAATTATTCAGATGTGGCATGTTTAGTAAATTCCACGGTGATTAGATTGGAGCATATTGAGGATAATACAGGAAACGAATTTATATACAGTTTGGTCCCAAACTGAGAGCAGGAAACGTAGTTTCTTTAGACTCTATCCCACAGAAAATAACAAATTTAGTGGCTCTATCATTTTTACTGATGCTGGTGAAGGAATATCTTTCAATTTTGGCAGTTGAGTTTTTTATAGATATGTGAAGTGGGCTTTATCAAGAAATGTTGATTTTTTACTTGTTCGTATAAAATGAAAAAACAAAACAAACAGTTTACCTATTGTTTTAAAATAGATTTGCCTCTCAAATATATATTTAAGTTGTAGATTATTTCTGGTCAAGGTAGTCAAAATCCAAAAAAATATTATGTTAATTAATTTTATTTGTAGTCTTACACCATGATTTGTATGTGGACTATAGGAACATAATTCTGGATTTATTTGTGAAGATGTGACTTCACTTACATCATACATCAGGTTGGAGCTGTGAACAGACAGGTTACGAAACCTTCAAGATTAGGAGCTGGGATTTTTTGCATGATCTTAAGTGTTGCTGTATATATTGTGTAGTGTATAAATTTTACGTTTGTTTGTTTGTTTTTGAAATTCGCGCAAAGCTACACGAGAGCTATCTGCGCTATCCGTCCCTAATTTAGCAGTGTAAGACTAGAGGGAAGGCAGCTAGTCATCACCACCCACCGCCAACTTTTGGGCTACTCTTTGACCAACAAATAGTGGGATTGACCGTTACATTATAACGCCCCAACGGCTGAAAGGGCGAGCATGTTTGGTGTGACGGGGATTCGAACCCGCGACCCTCAGATTGCGAGTCGAGCGCCCCAACTACCTGGCCATGCCGGGCCATAAATTTTACGTATTCAAAATTCCGATTTCTATATACTGATAATATTTTTTGGCGTAAGTGTAGTAAGTAGCCGGTTATTATTATTTTGATCTTATGATTATTTAGTGTTTTATTCGTGCGTGTAATTTTGTATTATCAGCTGTATATCCATTTTATTGGAATTGTGACGTTTTTATTTGAGCTTTGTTCATTTCCATTCTACGTCGTGATTTTGAATAATTCTATTTCCTGTTCTGTAAATTATGATTTGTTTGTGTGTTTTTTTTTACGTATCATTTTGAGTTTTATTCTATTTCATTTACCTTAAAATGTTTTTAATGTATTCAGGTAATATTTTATAAATATCCCTGTAAGTATTCTACATTTTAATTGTGATATCCTTGTTGGCTAGATATTCCAAGGTCTTAAAAACTTACTAACCCCTTTCCCTAGATAAAGGTTACATGGTGCAACTTAAGTCTCAAACTGACATGTACGCATTTCTACATGTACTAAACTGTTAAGTACTCAAACAGGTAATATAGAAACCTGTACAAACAGGCTTGGTATATGGTTATAATTGTATATAGACGAATGGGATATAACACTATGCCTACGTTTCAACTATGACGGCGCGGTATCCACGCAATTCTGGATCATGATTTTCTTCAGTTTTTGTTCTTGGCAGATTTTTTTTTTTTTGAAGAGCATAACTCCAGTCCCAGCAGCCAATCAGACTTTAAAACAATAGAAGCTGATCAGTAAGTAAATACACAGAACACTATTTATGAATAAAGACTAGTTTTAACTGTTCACTTGTGTGTTTGTTTCATTTGTTGTTCTTATCTAAAATACTACTCTACATAACATTTCTAGAACCTACACTTTGTGAGTAATTTAAACTTATCTGTTTGATATCATTGTGCCACTACTTTTGTGTTTCTTGACAGATCTAAACATACAAAGAGTAAGTTAATATATGTTATAGATCAAGAGAAATAATCAGTCAAAAAGTGGTAAAGTTATTGTCCTTGTTGTAAGAAAAAAAAAACATACAGTAAGCAAAGGAGTACCTGTTATATGGGCTTATCACAATAGTGTTGAAAGGAGTATTACCGAGGGTAGTAATCCCAAAATAAACATCAGTGAAAGTAAACTGTATATGATTAAAACACCTTACATGTAAAAAAAACAACCAAGTTGGAATAAAGGAACTTGACACATAAAGATGCGATATTTACTCCCTCCCTCTCTTAAAAAATGCGCAAATTACATAAAATTACAATCTCTATAAACAGATAATTAACACAAATTACATGAGACGTATAAAGTACATGAAGTAATGTTAAAATAGCGAAGTTAAATAAGAAACAAGGTAAAATTAACTTTTTTTATTCATGTTGTTACCACTTCATCATGCAATGGAAAAGATGCCCTAATTGTGTCTTATTTAAGCTTAACTTATCCATATTAAAAATTATATATTTACATAATTATATAATTTTCCTTAATTTCTTATTACCTGTTTACAGGTATATTTAATTTGTCTTTCTTTTGTAGATACAATATCTCTTTATACTGGTCTTTTTATTATAATGGGGCTCTTTTTACATATATTTTGGTCAACGATCGGTATAGTTTTTATCTATAAATCACAATTTTTCTCAACAGAAAGCGCGATTCTTATTTTTATTAGCAAATACGGACGAATTTTATCAGTTAATTTAAAAGGGTGAATAATCATAGTACATACTTCTTTAAATTATAATTATATTTTAATGTCTATACATTAAATTAATCAAACAGTGGCCATTGTGGCTCAGCGGTAATCTTTGTGGTTTATAACACTATTATCTGGGGTTCCATTCTCATCCTGGGTAATAAATTGTGTTGCTTTGGGCTCAACAACAAACAATCAAAGAAGCAGAGGCGTCGATAGGTGCTTAAAAGATTCGGGGATCGGGACCATAGGCGTGGGAATTTTAGGCGTTTCAGTGTGCTGTCGATCTTGGTTTTTCTATTCTTATTTTTCAAGACACCAACTAGGTATTCGAGGCACTGTCAAATAGAATCACTGCATGGGCTCCGTGTGTCAGCGCCTAACGACGCTTCCGCAAAGAAGTATATATAAAAAAAGTCCCCCCGGTGGGCCAAATGTAAGTCTCCGGACTTACAACGCCAAAATACGGATTCTGATTCCTTATCACGAACAGGGTGCAGATAGCCTATTATGCAACTTTGCGATAAAAACAGCAATATGAAAAATTAAAAGTATCGTTATATAGATAGTACTGCCATCTTTTCAACAGTGTTATTATTCATTTTAACCATTTTACAAGATGTTGAAGTATTACCCTTTTCAAAATCATCCTTTCTGACGATTTTCATTATTTTTCGTTCTTACTATTTACGGGAGTTATGTTCTTGTTTTTTGTTTTTTTTGTTGTTGTTGTTGTTTAATCCATTCAGTGTTAGTATAAAACATCTAAAGGTAACACTCTTCAAGTCTCAGTCGAGGTATATGACGTCACAACTAATGACAAAGTAGAGGAAAAATTCTGTCCTTGACGTTCTCAAGGCCATTGATGTCAGAGCGAATCCTTGCAGTTTCCCTTTATAATAATACGTTTCCAAGGCGGCGTCGCTAAATCAAACGCCACACTGCAACAAACCCAGTTCTAGAGAACGTTAGACTCGAGAATCGTAATGAAAAACAGCAGAGAACCCGTGACTGAAATCTCCCATTCTTACTCCTTAACAAGTTGCACAGGAGAAACGTTATTTTGCAAGTACTGGCCAACACTTGAGCCACCCAAGTAAGTATACATCTTCCAAACTTTCTTTAAATGTTATTCGTCATTTACTATAAGCACGAATAGTTTTTGGCTATTGAGCAGTGCCAGTAAAGAAAAATAGAGGGTTGACTCTTTATCTTAAATGGTAGCACTCGCCTGATGTATGAGAGAAGTCCCGGGTTTAAATCCACCTCCCAAGACATGTTCTATTATACACGTAGTAACATTAGTTTCATATAAGACAAGAAAACGAACCTATAGAATTAAATGTACAAGATATTTGTGTGTGTTTATAAACAGGAGTGATAGTTCAACGATTTTCCACAAACAAACAGCAACACAGTCCACTTGTTTTAAAATAATATATTAAAACAAGTCAAACGTATATACAAATGTTCGTTGGACTGTTGGTTATCA